CTGAGGCAGGTTTTCATGGGAATTGTCAAAATGTCTAGCATATGATTGGGTTTATTGAGAAAACTGCCTGAGAATCTATTAGAAGACTCCAAATACAGGTTGTTGAAGAAAGCCTATTTCAACTATTCTCCAAAGCACCTGAGAGTAGGACAAGGAGCAATGGGTGGAAACTAATAAAGGAGGGAAGCAATTTAGAACTAAGGAGAAATTTCCTGACAAAACAATTAGTCAGTGGAACAACTTGCATCCAGAAGTTGTGAATGCTCCAATACTGAAAGTTTTTAAGAAGATATTGGATAACCATTTGTCTGTAGTGGTGTAGGGTTTCCCACCTAAGTAGGGGGTTGGACTAAAAGACCTCCAAGGTCCCTTCCAAGTCTGTTATTCTATTCTATTCTATTCTATTCTAACCTAGTCCATGAAACAGCACTATCACAAATGTCAAAAAGGAAATGATACTATTTGAGATGTGTCATCTATAAGTTTCAGGTATCCATGGATAATGAAACAGAAACAGCACAATGATGCTGATAACAGACACAAATGTATGTGTGAAGGTGCCCTTAATGTTTCAGGAACATGAATATAATATTTATTCTCCTTTTACTGATTTTAAGGTATTATAGGAGCTATAAGGAATTTGACCTATTGGAGATAGAGAGATATGACCTTGGAAAAGGAAGATGCCATGTCCAATTATCTGATCTGCTTAGTATTAAAGGTGGAGTTAAGAGTGTGCCCACCTATGTGTGCTGGGACCACAACCACATGTGATAAGCCCATCATCATTGTGGATGCCACTAATTCATGCACTGGAACCTTCCTCCAGGGATAGGTGTTGAAGTCACACAAATGAAGAAAACTGGAAACTTCAACAGCATACTCAATCTTCCAGGGGTTTGTGATGTTTCTCTACTCAGCAGATACAATTAAGTACAGCTTTCTAAGTCTGTCATGATTAGGGCTGCAGCTCACTTCCAGCCTTGGGATTATAATGGCCAAAGGACCTAAAACCTGAGTGAGCAAATTTCCAATAAGGCTCCCTTGTTGCTCTGTTGCCAGTTTTCAGATATACAGACCAGGTTGGCATATTTATACATCACTTTTTTATATAGATGTGGTGCTATTCTATATACAGCTTCATTTACCAGCAAAAGCTGGACACCAAGATATCCCAAAATTGAACCGCCCAGGGCCAAGACTGCATAAAAATGAAATAATAAATAAAATTGTGCCACATTTATTTTAAAGCTAATTTTCTCCCACCTATCATTCACTAATTCTGTAAAGGATTCTAAATAAAGGAAGTAAAATATTTTCTTCCAGTTGTCTTTTCAAAACCATTATGCTTTGCAATTAATCAGTAATATCACAGTAAACTATGTACAAAATGTTTCCACTAAATATACTGGAGACAGCAGATTGGCTTTATATTGACTAAAATATTTCTTGGACCTCAAAGGAAAGGTTCAGTCTGTCTGGAAACATTTTATTCCTTCTTCTGTGAAATCATATCTGAAGAATTCTTACTCAAAAATGAAAACACACTGTGGACTTGTGTTTATAATTAAAATAGAGAGGATAGTTAAATGGAACCTACTTACAATTCAGGTCTATGTTTTAGTTCTGTAATGTCTTATACTTCATCAAGGAAAACTACAGACAGAATACAGTTCTACAATAAAGCTTTGCACAGCATTGGCTAGTATAACTCCAAGGCCTAATCTTTTACCTTATATTTGGCCTTATATTTTACAAGATATTTTTATGCATTTTGCCTTTACAAAAGGCAAATGGGGAAAAAAATCTAACTCAGTTCTACTAATGAACAAAGAATTTTTCCTATGTTATAATAAAGACCTGACATATGAAAAGAAGTGAAAAGGGTAAAATTATCTGGGTTTTAGATTAATAATATTGAACCCTGACAAGTTGAAATTAATGTTTGATCATCACAATTCTATACCACATGAAATGTTACCATGTTTTCCCAAAAATAAGATGGTGTCTTATTTTCTTTTGACTAAGGTGACCAGTTTTTAATATTGGTAAAGCGGGACACCATTGACCGAGGGGGGGGGGGTGTTCTTGATTAAAAATTTGGTCTATATGATTCATTGTCCATACACACCACACCCAAATAAGCCTATGGTCCTCAGCTTTAGCACAACAGAAGCTCTCAGGTTTTTACCTACACAACCCTCTACATTTTAAGTTGGTTTTTTTTTTTACAGGAACCCTGGAAAAGAAAGTATAAAAAGTCAGACTATATTGCGCTTAAAAGGGCGCCGCAAGAAAATGTGAAAACCAACTAAGTCCTATCCTGGCTAATTCATAGCCTACTTCAAGGTGGTGGCAAACCAGTCTCCCCTCATTCCTTCCACCCACCCATTTTTCACCCCCCACCACCACTTCGACGAGGCTCTAACCTGATAAAAGCCCCAACCAAAGCTTGAACTCGGCAGAGTCCCAGATGATCCAAGCCTACTCCTTAACAAGAGAGTTAGGCAAAGCAGCCGCTCCTGCGCACACCTTTTCACTCCGCCTGGCACGTTCGGCAATCATGCCACACCTGCACTCCTCGCACCTGCATGTGACCGGCCTAGGATATTAGAGGCACGCGGTCGACATCCCACACACCTGGCCACTCACTCGGCTGTTCCCCGCCCACGGAACCCATCCTTTGCCAGCAGCACGTAAGCCGAGCAAGCGCTTTCTCCCGGGTGCAAAATGATCACGGCTTGCAAGCGAACCTGCCTTCTGCTGATCTGGCCATCTGGGATGGATTTTTCCCCCTCTTCCTAGCAAATTGCTATCAGTTTTGCAAATCCCACAAAAGTCTCCCGGGATTATTATTATTTTAATACAACTCAAAGGGGGGAACCCAGCTCCTACTAAACTACCCTGGGTGACCGCTGCTCGGTGCAAATCGCGTATGACCATTCAGCCCCATCTCTCCCTCCCTCCCTGGCCCGCAATCTGGGCATCCGCCTGGGTACACGGCTTAGTTTAGAAGAACACCTGACGGCCGTGATCATGGGGCCTTTTACCAGGTTCGCCTGGTACGTCAGTTGCTCCCCTTCCTGGATCGGGATGCTCTGTGCACAGTCACTCATGCCCTCATCCTTTCTCGCCTGGACTACTGTAATGCTCTCTACATGGGGCTGCCCTTGAAGAGCACCCGGAAGCTTCAACTGGT